AATTTGAAGCCTTTGTGGTCATTGATGACAAAGGGGGAGAAATAGTGTACAAAGATAGTGAAACAAAGGGGGAGAGATAAAATATGACAAAGGAAGGGGATCAATTAAAATTTTGAGCATACAAATAGGGGGAGCAAGCTCATAAACTTGTATGGTGCATTTGAATGAGAATTACATATGTTTGCTTGCATGGCATAAGTTTTAATTTCAAATATCCATGCTTGTGTGGTGTATGCTAGTTGTAGGTTTGAATGTTGAAATGAAAAACTAGCATGCATAGGCTAAGTAACTAGACTTATGTTCATTCTATGGAAACTAGACCCTTGCATGTAATGTTGATCTCATGGGGTATTCTAGTTCTTGTATATGTCTAGTTACTAATGGTGCTAAGGATGGTATATTGGTGCACTCTGATTGGTATCACGCTTCAAAGGTCCATCTCTTATACCTCAGCATCATTTGGTAGAAATTGACTCCTATATTTCCTATCTAATCATATGTGCAAAGCTTCAATCCAAACTCTTAGCACATATGTAGGGGGACAATTGCTATCATATGGAGTTCATGAAACTTGCCCATATCCTTTACACATGGTAAATATGCTTGGGAAAGCAACATGGATTCAAATGAACTTTAATTCATATCTTTGTATAAGGGTTGTCATCAATTACCAAAAAGGGGGAGATTGAAAGCACTAGTTTGGTTTTGGTTAATTGATGAAACCCTAAGTGCTAACCTAGTTTATCAAGTGATTATGAGATAGGTAGCACTACTCCAAGTGATGAAGCAATGGCAAAGATCATGACGATGGTGATGATCAAATACTTAAACTTGGAAAAGAAGAAAGAGAAAAACAAAAGGCTCAAGGCAAAGGTACAAATGATAGGAGCCATTTTGTTTTTGTGATCAAGACACTTAGTGAGTGTGATCACATTTAGGATCGATAGCCATACTATTAAGAGGGGTGAAACTCGCATCGGAATGCGGTTATCAAAGTGCCACTAGATGCTCTAACTCATTGCATATGCATTTAGGATCTAGTGGAATGCTAACACCCTTGAAAATGTTTGTGAAAATATGCTAACACATGTGCACAAGGTGATACACTTGGTGGTTGGCACATTTGATCAAGGGTGGTGAAGTTTGGGAGCAAGAGTAAGGAACTCCACCGGCGCCCTAGATAGAAAAATCGGAGGTCACTGTAAGTGACCGGACGCTGGCCTTGGTTGGACTGGAGCGTCCGATCAGTGGCAGCAGAGGGCGCGTGTTTTGGTCTTCGACCGGACGCTGGCGCTAAAAGCGACCGGACGCTGGTAGGGTGCGTCCGGTCAGTGCTGACGTATGCTGACGTAGGGCATACAGAAGAGAAGTTGAGTGACCGGACGCTGGGTGAGTCCGGTCGACCATGACCGGACGCGTCCGGTCGTGAAATCTCACGTTTGGAACCTTACTGCAAATGACCGGACGCTGAGATCCAGCGTTCGGTCATTTTGTAACTAACGCGTCTAGTCATGTCATGACCGTTGAGATCAGACGACTCCTGTTGAAAGCAGGATGACACGTGGCTTACATCGGTTGACCGGACGCTGGGTCTAGAGTCCGGTCAGTCTGACCGGAGCGTCTGGTCACCCCGCAGTGTGCCTAGTGAAGGGGTACAATGGCTCTATTTCGTGGGGGCTTCTATTTAAGCCCCATGGCCGGCTCAAGCTCACGCCCTTGCACATTTTTCATTGACATAGCAACCTTGTGAGCTTAGCCAAAGTCCTCCCACTCATCTCCATCATTGATTCATCATCTTTGTGAGATTGGGAGAGAATCCAAGTGCATTGCTTGAGTGATTGCATCTAGAGGCACTTGGTATTCGTGTTGCGCTGCAGATTTCGCTTGTTACTCTTGGTGGTTGCCACCACCTAGACGGCTCGGTGCAGCGGTGGAGGATCGGCACGAGTTGGTGATTGTTCGTGGCCGTCTCCGGTGATTGTGAGGGGAGTTGTACCTTTCCCGGCGGAGCGCCGAAAGGTAACTCTAGTAAATTGCTCGTGTCATTGAGTTACCTCACTTGTGGGTCGGTTCTTGCGGTGTCATATCGTGTGGACGAGGTTTGTGAAACACCTCTTAGCCGCCGAACCACCAAGTGTTGGTCGACACAACGGTGACGTAGCGTGTTGGCAAGCACGTGAACCTCGGGAGAAAATCGATTGTCTCTAGTCTTTGGCATTCTCCCGGTGATTGGCTATATATTCATCTTGTGATTGGTTCATCCCCTACACGTTGGTATAATCACCCTACTCACTTATTTATATTCTTACAAACTAGTTGATACAAGCTCTTTAGTGTAATTAGAATTGAGAGCTTGCTTTATTATTTACATTCATCTAGTTGAGCTCTTTAGAGTAGCAAGGTTGAGAGCTCTTAGTGAGTAATTACATAGCAAGTTTGTGTGCCTAAGTAATCATTGCAACTAGAATTGTTGGATAGGTGGCTTGCAACCCTTGTAGAGCTAGAGTAAGTTTGCATTACGCTATTTGTCATACTAATCAAATTGATCTAGTTGATTTGTAGATTTTTAAATAGGCTATTCACCCCCCTCTAGCCATACTAGGACCTTTCAGGCACCCTAATGCACCCTAATTAATGATGAAGATAGAAACCATTTAGTTTCTTGATTGGGAGTGCCCTTAGATAAGTTTCTATAGTAGTGTGAACTAAACCAAAGTTTTAAGAATACATTTGGTGAGCTAGTTTGAGCTAGCTTGACAAGCATGAAATCTCATATATTGGATAATATTTCACTTACATATACACTAGTGTGATGACAATTGGTGCCTCTACGTTTTGTAATTTTGTTTATATGTATTTACTTACATATTTGTTGTCTGTCATTATTTTACTCATTTGGTATGTTACTTATATATATTTATAAAATGTCACGAGTACTATTATACTTGTTGAGTGCATATACTGCCTAGGTCCTGAAATATAAAGAATTGAGAGTTCAAAATTTGTACCAAAATGTATGGTAGTCTAGGTGAACAAACACTAAAAGATAATAGTCACATGCATGCCTACTATTAATGTCTATCATCAACCCAAATATAGTAACCAGAGAGGGTTATATACGTCACTTGTCTTAAAATTACTTCGATTCCTTATATTTTTGGACGGAGGGGGTATTTTATTTTTTCCATTTTGAATCTGTTACTGCAAAACCAAATTGCATAATTGCATCAATTGTTTGGTCATTACAATTGCTCGTGAGCTAAATGAGAAAGCTCAAGCTATTAACAAACCTTGCCGAGCCGGTTTTCCAATCCTAAACTCATCTATCCTATTGCTTTCTGGCTTCCAAGAGGAGAGAGCGTTTTTAGTTCTCGCGATGCCTGTGCTGGAAAATTTGGGTGCGACATCTCTACTACAGAAAAAATTAATCGAGGCTGGCAAAAGTGATTAACCGAGGCGGGCATCGCAAGCGTCTCGGTGGAAAGGTCATGGTAAATGCATCTTTCCCGAGGCGGTTGAAATGCCCACCTCGGTTAATCAATTAAAAAAATCCATGGACAGGCCCGCCGAGCCCATCCATGCACTGCCGCCGTAGCTCGCCGGATCCAGCCTTCCTACTACCGGATCTAGCCTCCCCGCCGCCGGATCTGGGCTCCTCCTCGCCCTGGCCGCCGGATCTGGGGTCCGGGAGGGGCCTGAGAGAGAGAGAGAGGGAGGGGAGAGGGGCGCCACCGCTGGAGGAGGGGGCCACGCGGCCACGCCGGAGGAGGAGGAGGTGGTCACACGTGCCTCGAGAAGGCAGCCGCAAGCCCCACGCAGAGGAAGAGAAGGGATGCCTCCCGCGCTCTGCCCACCTCGACTCGCCCGCGCCGCCCATCGCGCTAGCGCCCACGCCGCCACTGGGAGAGGAGGGGAGGGGGCGCGCGTTGCTGGGAGACGGAGAGGCCGCGCCTGCTCCACCGCGCCCAGCTTGCGTCGCCACGCCACTCGCGACGGAGAGAGAGTGGAGGAAGAGAGAGAGAGAGAGAGAGAGAGTGGAGGAGGGAGGGGCGCCACTGCGGAGTCGGAGGCGCGTGGAGTCGGGGGGAGGTGCACCGCTGTGCGGCGCGACTGAGGGAGTGAGAGGTGGGGATGGAAGTTAGGGTTTGCTGCTCGCGGTATATACCCTTTACCAGGCCTAGATGGGCTGTCTGGGCCACTATTTAACCTAGGCGGGCCTTATAATGTGACCGTCTCAGTTAATGTATTAACCGAGGCGGTTGTGTTATAATGCCCGCCTCGGTTAATAGGCATTAACCGAGGCGGTTATATTACCGTGCCCGCCTCGGTTAAGGATTAACTGAGACGGTTGCTAGCCGGGCTGCCCTGCCTCGAATAATTGAGGCGGGCAACCAGGCCGACCGCCTCGGAGCCCCAAATGAAAACGCTGTGCAAAAGATTTTCTGTAGTAGGTAAACAAGACATACTGTTTTTTTGTAGCACACAAAATGTAAACAGTATGTCTACATTATGGTCGATCGCCGGTGTCTAGGTAATACAGTATGTCTTGTTTACATTTTTTTTTGTGTGCTGGGTCTAATTCTACCAAGCGATGTCACCATTAAACCGATGCGGCGGTGGCTTTTTCAGTTTTAACTATAGTATTTGATAGTAGTATAAAACCGTAGTGGCTGCTCCTTTAAGTTGAAGCGAACAAGTCAAAAAAAGTATTTTGTTTGCTGCAACCTGCTTGTTTCATAGGGCTCACCTCAGCAGCACCAACAATTGTATGTCTTGTTTTCATTTTTTTTATGCTGGATCTAACAAACGATGCCCACCATTATGACTTCCACACTGTAGAGGTCCTTAATCAGTTTTCTGCTTAATCAAGGTGAGGGTGTCCTTTTGTCCGATACTCGCCATTACCATTCTAGTGAGCAAAAAGCTTAGTACAACCACAGAACTACATCAAAAGCATCTCGTCTCCACTGGTAAGGAGGCAGCGCTAGAGTAGCGCGACGATGGATCTCGTCGTCGGCGCCTCAAACAACGCCGTGAAATCGCTGGTGAACAAGCTCGGGAGCCTCCTCGCGCAGGAGTACACCCTGATCCGTGGCGTCCGTGATGACATCCAGTACATCACCGACGAGCTGGCCAGCATGCAGGCCTTCCTCAACAAGATTAAGCGGGTGGGCGACCATGACGAGCAGCGCCTGGACTGGATGAAGCAGGTCCGGGAGGTGTCCTACGACATCGAGGACTGTGTGGACGACGTCGACCACCGCCTCAGCAGCGAGCCCCGTGGGAGCGGAGCGCTGGTGTATCTCCGGAAGAAGTGGTATCTGCTCACCACGCTGTACGCGCGCCACTGCATCGCCACGGAGATCGGCAACCTCAAGGCCCGGGCGCAGCACGTCAGCGAGCGGCGCACCAGGTACGGCGTGGAGAACACGGGAAACGTCGAAAACACGGGAGCCAATGATCCCCAAGACCGTCTAGTGCCTCCTCCCCAGCTCTTCGGCACCAAGGAGCCGGTGGGCTTGGAGGATGCCATGAAGGAGCTAGAGCCATGGTTCTCCAATGGGAGCCAGCAAAGCACCTGTAATCAGCTCAGATTCCTTGCCATTTTTGGGTCTGGTGGCCTAGGCAAGACCACTCTTGCCATGGCGCTTTACCGCAAGTTCGGAGACGATTTCGGTTGCAGAGCATCCGTGCTTGCCTCCCAGAAGTTCAATCTCCGAACAGTTTTGGGAAGGCTTATAAAGACATTCCAAGAGCAGAAGTCCGGTGCATCAATGGAAGAGATCGAGGAAACTGACAAATTGGGAGAAGAGGAACTTAAAAGTAAACTGGACAATCTACTAAAGAAGAAGAGGTACTGTACCATTTTAATGCTCCTCATTCATGTTTCACCTTTCTTCACACATATATATAATATAAGCACGATATTGTAATCCTATTTATATTATATATATAATTTTTCTATTATAATCGTTCTTTGATGTTACTGTTATAGTGTGCTTTTGAGAATAATTACTTTGTAGGATCAATGCTTATTTTGTATAATGCTTGAAATAGGTATCTCATCTTGATAGATGACGTTTGGTCTGTATCAGCATGGGAAAAGTTTAGGGATTCTTTGCCCAAAAATGAGAAAGGCGGTACCATAGTGGTGACAACAAGGTTCAAATCTGTGTCCGAAGCCATCATCGTAGTAGCAGGTCTTATGGCTAGTAAACTGAAGGCAAACAAAGAGTCAAACCTGGACAGCCTGTTGGAAAAGGTTGACAAAGAACTCAGTGCAGTTCATGCATTTCTGGGGAACAATCTCACTACGGAAGGAGTGACACGGATACTTGACCAATGCTACAAAGATTTGCCAGCTGATCTGAAAACGTGCTTGCTGTACTTGAGCATGTTTCCCAAGGGTTGCTTGATCAGTAGAAAGTGCCTCCTCAGAAGATGGATAGCCGAAGGGTTCGTTGTCGAGAAGGACGGGAAGACCGTCGAGGAAGTTGCTGAGCACTGTTTCAGTGAACTCATTGACAGGAACTTGGTCCGTCCGGTCAACAACAGCAGCAACGGCAAGGTGAAGAGCTGTCAGATTCATGACATGGTTCTGGAGTACATTGTTGCCAAGTCAAGCGACGAGAATTTCATCACTGTGTTTGGTGGTCACTGGCAAACGCCATTTCCGAGCTACAAGGTGCGTCGTCTGTCCGTTCAGAGGAGTGATGGGAAAGAGAGTGAAAAGGTAGGGAGGATGAGACTGTCCCACGTCAGATCCTTAACGGCACTAGGGAGTTTGAGAGCGCTTCATTCTACTTTGCACAAGTTTCAGATACTCCAGGTGCTAGATCTTGAAGGCTGCAAGGATTTGTCCTACAAGCAACTTAAGAAAATATGTAAAATGCACCAGTTGAAGTACCTGAGCCTGCGCCGGACAGACGTAGAGGAGATCCCACCCAAAATTGGCCGGGTGGAATCTCTGGAAGTGCTTGACATAAGGGAGACGAGCATCACAAAATTGCCAGAGTCTGTTGATAAGCTTCAGAGAATGGCGCACCTACTTGCTGACAACAAGAACAAGCGGCATGCATTGAAATTAACTGAAGGGATCACAAAAATGACGGCTTTACATACACTCTCTGGGGTTGAGATCTGTACCGATTTAGCTACTGAAGTGCTTAGAGACTTGCAGAAACTTACCAACCTGAGGAAATTCACCATCTACAAAGTTAGTTGTACCCCAGGCAACTACGAGTTACTGCTGTCTGCCATTGAGCATCTGAGCAGTTGCTCCCTCAAGTATCTTGCAATTGATGATGATTTCACCAGATTTCTTGACACCTCACTGAATGATTCACAAGCCCCACCAGAGCACCTGCACACCCTCGGGCTCTCTGGCAAGTTGTCTCAAGTGCCCAAGTGGATTGTCAGTCTGCACAACCTTGAGAAGCTAACCTTGTCGTTAACTTCACTCACAACTGATGCTCTGCTGGTTCTTGCTGAGCTACCCGAGCTGTTCTCTCTCATTTTCTCACTCGACCCAACCAGGAACAATGCTCTGAAGACCCTTTATGATAACACAATCAAGTCAGGTGGCAAGATCTTTGTGCCAGCTGAAGGATTCCGAAAGCTTAAACTGCTATGCTTTGCCGCACCTGTGCTGCCCCCTGTGAGCTTCCTGGAAGGGGCAATGCCAGTGCTTCAGAGGATTGAGCTGAGGTTCAGAATGGTAGAGGGTGTCTATGGCCTGGAAAATCTTTCAAGTATCCAACAGGTAGTCCTGACTGTCAGCAGTCAGGCGCCTAAAGATGCCAAGGAAAAGGCGCAACAAGTCAAGGAATTAGCATGCATTATTCATGGGAAGGGTAATGCTCTCAGCGTGGTTCTCGATGAGTACAACGAATCAACAGAACAGAAGTAGATTATCTGGTCATAATTGGCATAGTTACAACGAGTCTGTCATCGCTTTCTTACGTTGTAAACTTATATTACATTACTCCATGATCGTGCATTATCATTTCTTGTATAATTTGTGGAACTATTACCAATTATTATCAACGTTACTTCTCCTGGAGTAATACAATCACAATTTTAATATCTACTATACCTGAATAGGAGAGCCCCACTAGCAAATTTTCTTGCAATTTCGTGAAGCAACGTCAGCAATCTCCTTCCCATCTAGTATTAAAGTGCAACTGAAACTCAAGACGGAAGCATCCCTATGGGCGTGGAAACTTACAGCTAGGGGCCATTATGTGTCTGTTGCACTTCACCTCCTGCGCGGCTGCGCCACTGCCTCAAAGCACTCCATTCACCGCTTCACCTACACGTTCGGTTTTGATAGAGGCAACCCAGTCTTCCCTCTATAAAATGAAAAGTCCATACCTAGATTAGCCCCAATCCTTCCTGGCTCTACGGAACCCAACAAGCGCGTGACTACGACTGCCTCCTCCTCCTCCTCCTCTCTGTCGCGGGGTATTCTTCGGCTCTGGATCAAAGAAGCTTCGCTGGAGAAAGAGGAACATTCCAGGGAGGTGCATGAGTAGCCACTACTACACAAAGGATTTGTAGCAATGTCATGTTTTTTTAGGAGCGGCTCAATCACCAACCGCTCCTAGAGTAGGCGTGTTACGGACCAACGGGACGAGCCGCCCCAATAAATAGAATAGTAGAGGCGGCTAGTGATTTGTAGGGGCGGCTTATACACCAGTCGCCCCTAGTATTTAATTTATAGGAGTGGCTCAATCACCGGCCGACCCTAAAAAATTATAGGGGCTACATATTGTTTTATAGAGCCGTCTCTACAAAATAATTTGTTGGGAATACCAGGTGCCTCTATAAATTAGATTTGTAGGGGCAGTTTGGGAACCGGCCCTACAAATCTATGATTTATAGCAACGGTTTCGTAGGAACGACTGGCCAAGCCACCCCTACAAACCATCACTAGCTGCCCCTACAAACCATCACGAACCTGAGAGGGAATACACCCTTGGATGCAGGTCGAGCCGATTCCTAGGAATCGAGCGGACGGGGTCTGACCCAGATGAGTGGGCGCGTGGGGAGGAAGGAGTAGGGCGCGCGAGCACATGCGAGCGGCGAGATGGAGGAAGGAGCAGCGCGCATCGTGGCCGCATAGCGCCGATGACCGCGCGTGCGCACTGGAGGAGTACCGGTGGCCGCGCTTGCGCGGAGGAGGATGCGCATGCGTGGAGGAGCAGAGGAGCAGCAAGGGCGGAGCGAGCCGTGGAGCTGCGGCGGGGGCGGCAGGGCCGAGCAGGAGCAACGTGCGGCCGCAGCCGGGAAGCCGCAGGAGGGCGACGGCGTGGGGCGAGGCTGGGTGGTGGTGCGTGAGGTACGGCGGGGAGGGGCTTGGCAAGTGGAAGGAAGAAGAAGAGGACATTAGGCAGCCAGACAGGGCCCAGTCTCCCGACCCAGTACTGCAGATTCTTGAAACCAAACAAAGAATTGGAACCGACCCAACCTTATCAACCAAACACTTAAATGGGTCCAACCCAACCCATGTCATCCCAAAACCAAACACATGCTAATAATGTGATTCTCATAAAATATTTCACTGGATATCTCGATGCCTAGCCCAATAGAATATACAACGCAACACAATTTCCACATGCCCCAACATGTGGGTGTCATCTAGTTATTACTAAATGAAGGTCTCCCACAGATACTTTGTGTTAATTATGATGAAACAAGTTCTGATTCTATTCATCATCACCCATAACTGCCATTGAATTCAATCTATTTTCTAAAAAAACTACTCACATCTATGATTATAAAAAATAAATAAAGTAACCCCATAAATTTAGGTCGAGCTTACCCATTTTTTGCCATTATGAAATATAATTTAAAATAACCTCTAAATATATATAGATTTCCTACCTTAGCATTATGAAACATAATGTGAAATACCTCTATATTTCTTTTTAAATTACTCATATTTTCCATCATGAAAGGTAATATAAAGTAGCCCATTTAATTTGTATCTAAATTATGATGGAACTCGCCAGAGAGAACGCAGACGTTGTTGGCAGCAAGATCACGACCAGGAAGAACGCACACAACTCACGCGAACACAGGATACGATCTCGTTTAGTGCTGTGAAACTTGGCAGCGTTTTTTGGTTGTATTGCTATGCTTAAATAAGATATTACGAGGAAACTAAATCCGCCTTTCAATCATGCTGATACATGCACATGCACTGATCATGCTACTAATTAGCTACTGCCTAATTAGCTATTATCCAGAAATGGTAGTGCATGCAAATATGCTAAGTCTAATCAGCACACAAGGAATACAATCAACAATCTCCTCCTAAGCCTTGCTGTACAGAATATTTACATCAAGCATATGCCGATCTTGGCATGCATCTCATATAAATTTGACTCTGCCAAGAGCCTTCGTCAGAATGTCACCCGGCTGCTCTTCACTTCTGACAAAATCTACATTGATCAAACCAATGTCTGCAGACTCCCGGACAAAGTGATACTTCACTTCAATGTGCTTGCTCTATCCATAAAGAACCGGATTCTAGTTCAGAGCAATAGCCGACTTGTTGTCCACCTTCAGCATTGGCACTCCTGGTGTCCCTCCCTGCACTTCATAACACCCGAGCTAGCCAAACTGCTTGAGATGCAGCGTTTGCAGCAACTATGTATTCTGCCTCGCACGGACTAAGCTACCACCTTTTGCTTCATGGACTGCCAGGTCATTGGACTGTTGGCCAAAAAAAAGATCACTCCAGTTGTGCTTTTCCTAGCATCAACATCTCCAGCGAAGTCAACACACTACTCACGTCTATGATTATAAAGCATAAATAAAGTAACCACATAAACTTAGGTCGAGCTTACCCATTTTTGCCATTATGAAATATAATTTAAAATAACCCCTAAATATATATGTAGATTTCCTACCTTAGCATTACGAAACATAATGTAAAATACCTCTATATTTCTTTTTAAATTACTCATATTTTCCATCATGAAAGGTAATATAAAGTAGGCCATTTAATTTGTATCTAAATTATCCATTCCTAGCATTATGAAAATGAACTAAAATCTCCCTCATATCTATTCGTAATACCAAAATAAGCTATCACTACGCCACAACTAATAATCACTACCGGGTCACAACCCCCCGTCATTGTTGGAATTCAGTCAGCATAGGTTAATCTGTAGTGATGGGGCAGCCTATCAGCCCAACAGTGATAATAGGTACAACATTGTCGGGTCAAAGTTTCGGCCGGCCATGGTATTTATGGCTATCATTGGCAGGTTATCGCTTGAACCGATAGTGATATGGTGATTGTCACTGTCATTTAGGACATAGCCCGTGTGGCAGAACCAACCAATTTAACCAAATCCCAAGTGTATTTATCAGCCTTTTGACCATAACAGCATGTATAATTCCCTGATAGGAAAATTCAATCGTCTTGGGAAGTACGGGAGACCACAGGTGGTGCTATATTTTCCTGTCCCTTTAAGGTTAGTTTAGAGTAAAAAGTCGATCGATCATTATATGGCTTACACTACCGGACTCCTTGAGTTTGCCGAGTGCCCGAAACACTCGGCAAACGACATAAAACACTCGGCAAATGATTCGTCGAGTGTAACACTCGGCGAACAGCACTCGCCAAAAACAGTGACGGCAAAGCCAACTTTGCCGAGTGTCTTTTATCGGGCACTCAGCAAAGCTTTTGCCGAGTGCCCGACACTCGACAAAGTTGAAACCGAAAAAAACCCGAAAAAAATGAGAATTTTTACCAAAAAAAATGGATTTTTTTTTTATCGATGGAGGCCGCCACCGGCCAGCGCCCACCCATCTACGGCATTTTTCGCGTGAATTTCATGACTACGCGGCCAACGCGATTCGAACCCGAGACCTTCCGCTGTGCACGTACCTCCTCTACCACTACACCACACTCTCACTTGTGTCTGGATTCCGTTTTAGTTCCTAATATATTATACTAAACCGAGTGTAAATTGCATGTTTGAGGCCCTAAACGAATTCAAATAAAAAAATTATAAACTACAAAGTTTCATAACTTTTCGAGATCTATACTTTTAGTTTAGGAAGTTTTTCCATCCGAGGTCATTTACAAAATTTGAATTTTAAAATTTTGAAATTCAAACACAGTTTTGCATGACAAGATGTTTTCAAATCAAAAAGTTGTAAACTACAAAGTTTCATAACTTTTCGAGATCTACACTTTTAGTTTAGGAAGTTTTTCCATCCGAGGTCGTTTACAAAATTTGAATTTTAAAATTTTGAAATTCAAACACAGTTTTGCATGACAAGATGTTTTCAAATCAAAAAGTTGTCAACTACAATGTTTCATAACTTTTCGAGATCTACAAAGTTTATTTTGGTTGTTTTTTCATCCGAGGTCGTTTGAAAAGTTTGAATTTTAAAATTTTGAAATTCAAACGCAGTTTTGCATGACAAGATGTTTTCAAATCAAAAAGTTGCCAATTACAAAGTTTCATAACTTTTCGAGATCTACAAAGTTTATTTTGGTTGTTTGGTCATCTGTTCATCCGACATGGTCGTTCTAACATTGTTCACAAATCTTATATATCTCTCTCGTAGTTTCATAAACTACAAGAGAGATATGTTAGATTTGTGAACAAATTTATTTTCACTTTGTCGTATGAAGAAAAGACCAAAACAAATATTGTACATCTTGATGAGTTATACAACTTTGTAGTTGAAAACTTTTTTATTTGAATTAATTTACTGCTTCAAAATGTGCTTTGAAATTTTCTTTGCCGAGTGTCAAAAAAATAACATTCGGCAAAGAAGCTCTTTGCCGAGTGTCAAAAAAAACACTCGGCAAAGGAGTCTTTGTCGAGTGCCCGAAAAACAACACTCGGCAAACCACCTGGCACTCGGCAAAGAGCCGGTCTCCGGTAGTGTTAAGCATTAAAATTCTCTTGAGGTTAGCACTACTACTCCCATCTAAGATCTCACTTCAAACTCTATCACTTATCTTAATTAATATGGTGCATCTTTCAAATGATTACTTATGTTATTATAGTATTTAAGAACATCCTCTACCACCTAAATCCTTATTTTTAAAAAGTGCAAAAAGAAGAGTTAATAAAAGATACAATAAGCACAAGAGTTTCAATTGAGGACAAAGAAATATGTAGCAGTCAATAAGAATATAATTTGAAAAATTAAAATTAGATTCATGACTTCATAAGGTATGTGATGCAGCAAGGACCACCATAGTTAATGGCAATATTTCAAACTAATTGCATATTTAAAATATACAGAGGTGCCATACAAAATAAAAATACGTGTATAGATGAACAACATATAAATCAGTCCCTTGAAAAAAGTGATTAATAAGTCTATGATAATTAGATATAGACTATGAAGTACCTATTACATCTATATATCCCATAGAAAATAAACAAACAGAAAATATACAATTTAATATAAATAATTCTTTATTAGTTATAAATATTAAACAATATAAAAAGTACTATTTTTCACGTAGATGTCCACAAACACATGCCCTAATCGGCGGATCTTAAAGTTATTTATAGGAATGAATAGGTATCACTAGGTTAATTATGCTATATTTTTAAATTGTAAACCTATTTTGAGATACAAATGTCGACAACATTTTCTATAAATTAGTCAAATTTGAAATGATATGGACAGTGAGAGTTCGTCCCAAGTCATATATATCGAGCTGGGGAAGAAATGTCGCAAACTAGTAGTAAGGGCCCCCTGCAAGCTACTCACTCTGTCCCTTTTTTAACTGTTGCCATGGTATTCGTGCAGGTTAAATTTTCTTAAGTTTAACTAGGTTTGTAAGAATATGAGCAACATTTGTGTCTCCCAATAAGTTAATTATGAAAACAGATTCAACAATCTATCTAACGCTACTAATTATATACTATAAATATTAGTATTTTCTTATACATTTAGTTAAAACTGAATATGTTTGGCTTGTTGGGAAGGGAAAACGATAATTAAAAAAGGACCGAGGGAGTACCTATTTATTTAGACAGGGTAACATGCCTGGTTCTTCTAGCCTTGCCCCGTTCCCTCAACATTCGCCGAGTAGCAGCTCTAGCTGTTTCTGCAGCAAAAGGGTAGCAGTAGGGGGGCAAGGAAATTGGGATTAATTCCTTGCCAAAACGTTATTCAGGGCTAATTTGGGCAAGTAACAGCCTTCCCGCCGCCGGCCACCTGGTGTCGAAGGAGCAGCCGGCAGCAGCAGCGTAGTACTAACGAGGTCGGCGCCTTGGGGGTCTTCTTTGCCGCTATCAATCGGGGAGACCGGCCAGATCTGGTAAGTTTGATTACAAGTGAATACCCGCACTATGTGACTGCATGTATTTTGGAGGATTAATCCTGGCGTGTTGAATGCACGCACATACCGAATAAAGGTTATTCTGGTCGGGGGGTGGAACAGGCATGGCAACTGCAGCTTCCGAGGAGGAGCAGGGCAAGGAGGTAGAGATCGTGCCTGCCACTCCCGGAGCCTGCAAGCCAAAATCGTCCGTCAATCCGCCATCACGGATCAAGTAAGTGGGAAATTATAAGTACATATTGAAACCCTTGATCGACATTCATTCTGCCGCCTGATATTGGATCGATCCTTAATAGTTCATTTAACTGCTCAGCTCGCAGGGTGCATGCATGGCGCCTAAGGCCTCCGAGGGGGAGGAGGGCAAGGAGGTCGAGATGGTGTCTGCCGCTCCCGATCCGGAGCAGCAGCTGGAGAGAGATGTCACGGCACATCAAGATTCGGAGGAGGAGAAGGAGACGGCGGCCGAGATCAAGGAGTTATTAAGCAAGCTGCAGCCGCTTCGTGCCAGGATCTCTCAGCTGCTGGGGCCTGCTGGCCCTCATCGCGTCGTCACTGGTGACCATGGACGGCGCTGCTTGGTATTGATGGAGACGGAGCTGAGCATCATTGCGGCGCTCTTGACGACATTGAGTCCGCAGCACTTTGACGATGCCGAGACGAAGAAATGGCTGGGTGAATCTTTGCTCAATGTTCCCCGTTTAGCCGACTGCGTCCTCGGTGAAGTTGATCCCTCTCGCCACACGCTGCTGCGAAGAGCTTCACAGTGCTTCCATCGTAGGAAGTCATTCTCATATTGGCGTCCTCTCTTAACGGTACTGATGCTTTACTATATCATCGAACATCCCTCCAGCTCCAGGTATAGGCATCTTCTCATCCCTAGCTCTGACCTTGGGCTTATTACACCCCAACTGGCTGAGGCGGATGCCCTCCTCCCTCTTGTCGGCATTGATCGCCCGGCAAAGAAGATTTTGGGGTGGCTCGCACACCAGGGGAAGATGGGCATGAACCTGAGAGTCATGTGTATCGTTGGACCTGTGGGGATAGGCAAGACAACTCTTGCCGTGGAGCTCCGCAACCGACTCAGGCAGCAGCATGAAACTAGTGGAGGGCGCTACAATTTCCAATGCAACGTTATGGCACAAGTGCCACGGGGAACTGATAGAAACATTCGTCTTGTTCAAGATATCCTCTCCCAAGTCTCAGAACCAGCAGCAACAGCATTGTCATCTGAGCCGTCACAAGACAAGACAATGGAGGTCCTAGTCCGCCTCATTTCAGAATGCTTGCGAGATAAAAGGTACCGATAACAACCAACTTAATTACTAGCTTTGGCATGATTATATTTAATCTGAAAATATACATATTTGCTAATCTCTTTCTCACAATGCTCCCGGCTGGCTGGCCAGGTACTTCGTCATTATCGATGATATATGGGAAGCATCAGACTGGGAAGAAATCAAGGTTGCATTTCCTAATAATAATCATGGTAGTCGAATATTGATTACAACACGCAGTACAAGTACAGCATGGGCATGTTGCTCCGATTCCTATGATGGCCATGTGCATGAGATGAAGCCTCTAAGCGAAATGGATTCAGAAAGGCTGCTTCTAGCAAAAGCCGTTGGTTCAGTGGATGGTTGCCTGCCAAACAATATGAAGCTACATTGTGATGAAATATTGAGGAGATGTGAAGGTATACCGTTGTTTATAATTGGCATGGCAGACTGGCTGAAGGACCAACGACTGCAGAAGCAGTACCCACGACAACCAGAGGGTGAGGACGAGGAACAAGTCCCCCGGCTGCCAGAACGGTTAGAACAAGCACTATCCTCTGCTTTTAATGACTTCCCTGATGATGGCTCAAGGTTACTATTATTGTACATGAGCATGTTTCCTTATGGGTACAAGTTTGAAAAGGATCGTCTCATCTTGAAATGGATAGATGAAGGCTTCTTTATCATTACTGATTATCATGGTGTTTACTCCAACGACATTAGTAAGTTAGAAGCAGAGAAGTTGTTCTCCGAGCTAGTGGATAGTAATGTCATCACCTGTGTAGCATCAAACTGCAAACACAAGCAAGATGAAGCCGAGGCCTGCCAGTGGCAAATCAATCATTTTATGCACCAATTCCTGGCCTCCAAATCTGCAGAGATGGGTTTCGTTTTCACCACCACTACGCTCAACTTACTGGCAGAATCAGCAGCAGCAACAACAACAGAGTGTGGCAACCAAACTAGCAGCAGGATGCCACGGAGGTTAGCCCTGCACCATCCAGATCCCCTGCTCCCGTCGATGCTTGAAACCATGGATTTGTCCCAGACTCGTTCGCTATCTGTGTCTGGGACAGTCTGCAGAATCCCTCTGGACAAGTTTGTTAATTTGGTGCTTCTGGATCTTGAAGGCTGGGAGAATCTCAAAGATGAGGACCTAGTGCAGGTATGCAGAAGCAAAATGATCTTTTTGAGATATCTAAGCGTCAGGAATACTCGAGTCAGCAAGCTCCCACACGAGATTAAGGAGCTGCATGTTCTGGGGACATTGGACGTAAGTTACACGCAGATAACAGAGCTCCCGCTTGAAGTGTTCGAGCTAATTTTTTTGCATCACCTAGACCTAAGGGGCACACGGATAAGACCGCTGCCAAAGCAAATTAAGGGCCTACGAGATGGATTGAAGTATCTTCTCGTCGAAACAGCCGCAAGGGTGCCGAACTATGCACGGCCTCTCTACCCGCTACAGATACTAGTCACTGTTGATTTGACGAAACAACCTGCAAGCTTCGTCAGGGCTCTCGGTGATCTCAGTTTGGAGGCGCTTGCAGTTACATGGTCCTTTCACCAGTCCACTGACAGAGACTACTGTGAAGCGTTACTGTCATCCATCGTAAAGTGGGAATACCTCCAGTCGCTAACCATTCACTGTGGACTAGGCTGCTCCATGGAGTTCCTGGGCTCCCTTGAAGAGTCCGGTGCACCTAGGTGGCTTGAGAAGTTCAAGGTGACAGCGGGAAGATTCGCAAGTGTTCCACCATGGATCGATGGACTCGAGCATCTATCTTTCGTGCAAATCACCGTCTGTAACAAGCAAACAACGACGGATGATCTGAAGATACTTGGAGGCTTGCCCAAATTGCAGTGCCTAATACTAGGCTTGGACTTCATTCCTGGACAACCCATAGTGATTGGAAATGAAGGATTCTGTGAGCTTCAGAGATTTTCCATCTACTGCCCAATGCCATGGCTCACTTTCAGCACAGGAGCTATGTGGAAGCTGACATACCTCCAATTGAAGTTCTGTTCGACTCCAGCGAGCCAGATCTGTGTTCCTTCAGGTATCAGCAACCTCGGTACGCTTACGGAGGTTTCCCTGTGCTACAACGCACAATACATCAACAGCCCCAGCATCAAGATGACAGTGGACGCAGTGACCAAACAAGTTGCCAGACATCGCAACCCGATCGACCTTTTCATCAATGGCATTGAACAAGATGATGTCCAAGAAGCTGATGATGAAGTGACAGAAATTAAAATTGGGACTTCAAGCAGAACCAACGCTGGAGCTGAAAATGATGCTCAAGCAGTTGGTGAGGAGGCTACAACAGCAATTGAATGTGAGATTACTGAAGCTGAAAGTTGATCCAATTAGGCGACGCTTAGCTCTAAAAGACAGGGTAATCACTACTACTATGTTGCTTGAAATTCTGCTTGTGGTCAACACCATTTTCTTGACAGTTTCCATATACACTCTGAGGGTTTCCATATACACTCGTTGCACCAGGAATGATCAGTCGTCTCATCTCTGGAGGCAACTCAATTGCCCAAGGGAGATGAGAGAACAAGAGTTACAGCTTGGCAGTCCATACCACAGGATGGTACATCACTCCTCGCTCCCCCATGTAACTCTGTTGACCAGAAGCTTGTATGTGTGTATCTCAGGTCAGAATGTCTGATGAATGTGCTCCCCCCTTGTCATTGCCACATTACTTCTAAGACTGTCATGTACTAGCGTATTGGTTCCTCCGTGTGTACTCTGGCATTTACGCTGTTGTTTGTAACTTTATTTACCGTGAGTGAGGCCTGTGTGGAAATCAGTTTCTTCCAATTCGTACGGAAGTTGAACTATTCCACGCGGACCTCTGGATGGAGTGTTGTCTATATGTGTTGTTGCTTCAATGTCTCAAATGTAAGACTTTGCAACTATTATGTAAGAGGGTTATTTCATCAGTCTCTTGAACTACTGTACTACAGTGTGTATATGTTTGGGTTTGTGAGTTTGTGACACACCCAGCTTTGCACCTCTGTCCCTACATTCCTCCACGAAGTACCCAGTGAAGACCCCCACAAACATCCAAGCAAAACAGAGCAATCGTGAGGGAAACAGGCAACTCACGGTCATCGGGCCCGTGGGCAATGCGCCTGACCTGGACGGCGGGCGGGTGATCCATGGAGTTGTCCGTGGACCGTGGCGACCACGGAGAGGTCATCCCAGATGGCGAATTCGACCGACCTCGCGGTGGCAGAGGGCGTGGGGCGGGTTGAACGGTGACGGTCATGGTCAGGCGGCGCCGGAGGTGGAGAAGGGGAAGGAACTGGAAGTGTGGGCCGACGGGACCGATTGTTGGAAAGGAGATCGTTCGGCCTGTGTGGGCCTGGTGGTGGTGTTGGGCTTGCTTTTGAGTTGACAACTTTCTCAATGAGGCCCAGGGCTAATTTCCATGTTGCGCTAATCTGTCTGTAGCACGCGTAGCACCTGTTTCTAATAATCTCTACTATAATTAAAAACTTGAGACAGATCACGGAGGCTTCAACGCTCCCGTCCGTATAAAAAGGAAACAAACGCCGTCCGTATCGACGAAAAAAAGGAAACAAAAATTCCCTTCCGCGCGAGCACGCCGAAAAAAATGAAAAAAAAAAACAGCGCCGAGGGGCGCGCCGAGTTCACCTCGATCCGCTGCCCATACCCGCGCGTGCCTCCGCCTCCACCTCCGCAAGACCACGCCGCCAACCGCTCCCTCCCGTCCGTCCGCTCGGTCCCCTCGCCTCCCGATCCCGAATCCACCGCGATGGGCGCAGCCTCGGCGGTGACACGAGAGCCGTAGGCGCGGAGGCGGCGCCATGGGTCCTGTGCCCTCTCCCACAGCAGCGGCGGCGCCCCACCCTACAGCGTGCCGCGGACCAGATCTATCCCGCACCAAAGCGTGGCGGCGCCTTCACCCCTACCGTCGGCGCCACCATCTCCACCCGGTCGACGCACGCGGTGGAGGCGGGGTCGCCTTCTTCTCCAGCAGGAGCTGAGTCGCAATCGGTGCTCGAGGGCATCAGGCGCTAAGCGGCGGCGCTCTCCTCTCCACTCGGATTTGCGGCACGGCGGCGGCTCCCGTCCTCCCACGGACGCCCGCGCCGATAAGGGCCGCTGGCCCGTCACGCCAGTCTCCGCGACGCGCCCGACTCCACCCGAACACCACGACGCGGAGCGCTCGGGTCTCCGCCGCCGCTGCAACCCAAGCGATCCTCGACGAGCAACCAACAAGTATGCCCACCCCTTCTCTTCCCTTTATGGTGTGCCAATTTGTGTTCGGATCTGATCAAATTAATTAGTGGTACTAACTATGATCCCTTACAAATATTATCTTCCGTATATGTGCATACCCATAATCCTTCAGTAGATCCATATCTGCAGTTCGGTGTGCTTTGATCTGCTTTGATTTGAATTTTGGGTGACCTTGTCCTTCCCTTTGCGCTGTGTGAAATCGTGGAGATCCAGATGGGCCCGAAACTGTGAATGTAGTGCTGATGAACATTTTCTGAATTGCATGTCATTCAGCAGTCGGACAGCAACTGCAAGCACTTAATTAGCTTAACCCTCTACCCTCCTGGAGCCTATTTATTCTCTGCTTATTTTAGATTTTGAGCAATCAGCGAACAAGCTTAAATATGGTTAAGCTACCAGATATACACCATACCGACGCTGACGGGCTGCACCTAGGGCCTGGACGCGGCATCCTCCCGACCATCACGCGCGCGACGGACAGGGGCGCTGGCGGCGACCACGACCGGCCGAGGAACCCTGCTGCCCGCCCACGTCTACTGCCGGCCACCTACGACGCGACGGTTTTTGCTCTGGTAGAAAATTTTGTTTCTGTTTTCTCGGTGTCCTGCCATCTTGCCAATTTTGATTCTCCTTCCTTGTTTGATCGAAGGGCAGATTGGATCTCGAGATTTTTTTGCTATGGATAACCAACGACAAGCTGGTGTTATTCTGCAATTACAGCCTTCATTATTAGTAGTATTGCAAGAAGTTGAGTGCTTTTCTGGATTCTTGTTCTAAACTACTACTATATTGGCCTCTTTCAGTGGCAGGGCATGTTAAGTGATACACCAAATGCTGAATCACGATCTGATGTCGATGATTTTGGTCCATCATTTGTTCAGAAAGTTCTGGACTATGGTTGCTTGACTATGGTTTAGGGTGCGGCCGGACCGGCTCTGCGTGGTGGCTGGGCTGCCGCCGCTGCGGTCTCCGCCGGATCCGCCTTCCAAAGGACTGGATATGATCCACCCCAAGGTCGCCTGATGCGCAGAGCGTCGTCGTCTCTCAGCCTGCCCTGCTGCTGCGCGCAGCCGTGGGTGTGGACGGACCCGCCGCGGGTGTGGCTAGACCCGCTCTGCATGGTGATCAGCTACATCTGCTGTTACTGGTAACAATGTTAATATTGCAGTTGCAGGTATGGCTTTAATCCATTCATATTACTATTGCAGGTGCGCTCATTCGGTGGTCATGGTTGGGTTGCAGTTCCAAATTTTACACTCAATGAGTGTTGAATCAAATCTTTTTGTGTGGTATGTTAACTTCATGGAATATATTTGCAGAAAGAAATTGAAAATGGTTGTGTATCCAACAATGTAGTACGAAGTTTCATTTCTTTTTGCATGAATCTTAAAATTACCATTTTATTCTTGAATATGGAAGCATAATCTTTTTGTTATTTTTAAATACATCACTAAATGTCGTCGTATCATTAGCACATGCATTCTACTATGTCAATAATACTGCAGTTATTTTGGCTACCTCAAAAATTAAAGGAAAGATGTGTTTCTGAGGGGGTGTTTTATGTTTGCACGGAGCTTGTCAAGCCACACAAACACACAAGCTTGGTAGAGGCTGTGCACCTTGATACAGCAGCGGAACTTATATATAAGATAAAAAAAGATCTAAAGATTCTCTACTTGCAGTTGAATGAGGTTGCCACTTGCCCACTTGCATTGTTCTGTCCGCAGTTAGCCCCGCAAAAAGCACAACGGTAATCTCCCTTCCTCTTCGTGCTAATTGGTGTCCTTTCTAGGGCAATCATGCCAACAAATGGATGATTAGTTATTATAGTAGCATACCCGTGCTAATGCTATGGTAAAAGCAAAAAAAACATGTTTTTAACTAAAGTAAATAGTGAGATAGGTTAAGATTCATGCCAAAAGAAATTAATCCTGCAGTTCCTCTAAGTATGATCTAGGTGCCGGTGGTGGCCTAGGTGTTCCAAATGCCCCAATATGTCATGACAAAGACTGAGTATTGTTTTCAGTTTTGTGTCAAGAGTCTTGTTTTGTAATGATATTGTTGAATCCGTGATAATAAAGTTCTTTTTGACAAAGAGGTGGGTGTTCCCGTAGTAATATTGGATCCAGATCTTTTGAAACTAAGTATTGTGCAGGTAGATCATTTTTTGTTGTTTGATTTGCATTACCAAATGTCGCCGTAGCGTTAGCACGGGCAAATATACTAATGTCTGTGCTAACGCAATGGTGACATTTTAGTACAATAAATCAAACAAATGCTCATCTCCAGGAAATTAGGAGGCTTCCTTGTATACAATTTCATGAAGTCATGGGATGGTGTAAGATTGCCACCGATCAACACTGTAAGCATATATTCTCTAACTATATTTCGCACACTACATACAAAATTAATAACCTAACTTATTATATCTACCATGCACAACAATCAAATTCACTGAGGATGGAATTTTTGGGGGACATTCTTAAGAGCCATGCAAACGAATGTTTTGACAACTTTTCTGAAGATCTCCAAGTCATGATTAAGGACTTAGACAGAATGTAACTTAAATGGTTATATGAGAAAAAACTTTACTATGACTTCTTAGTTTCCCGGATTGTATACATGCTCAAAGATATTGTGTAAAAGTTGAACTATGGAAAAAAACATTGGTTGTTTTCATGTGCGTCTCCAAGATAAATCCGTTGCGTTAGCACGGGCATTATACTAGTAATAATAATAATAATAATAATAACGCGTCGTAGCATCTAATAATAATCTGCATAAGATTCAAGCCGATCAAACTCTCTTCAGGAAAACATATTATTGTCTCTGTAGTATTTGTTGTAGCGCACTATGACCGTAAGGAGCAGACAACAATAGAGACGTGGGTCGTGCCAGCTGCTATTCGAGGACTACCTAGTTTTTTTTACGAAGAATAGATAGCATTTCATTTTCTGTATTCGTCAATACTTCAATTCAAAACCCATATAAGTTTAAACATTTTTTTATGTGCTTGTAATATCTATAAACCGATGCTTCTTCCTTGCTGAAGTATATATGAAGCTGTACTTTTCTACTACCTTTGA